AATAAAGAACTCAACTTAGCACATTAACAAAACGAGTTCAAGCTCAATTTATTTATCAAGAAGCTAAATCGATCGATATCATTAGTGACTTGTTTCGTTTATCAACTAATTTAAGCATTATTTTAAAAAAATATTTATCCAATGATTAATAAATCTTGCATTTGTGTATTAATTACATGCATGTATAAATAGACTAACAATATGGACTATATATATCAATATTATAAACTACTCCCACCCGTCTAGCACGCGTAAAAGAAGAGAACATGGAGTGATAATATTCAAATAACTCCCACGGTTCGAGATAATTGACTTTGGAAGCATTATATATACACAAAAAGTAAGTTCCAAACTCAATGAAGTATTAATATACATAGAACATATATAGTTTAGTTGATGAGGTCATAGATTAACGTTTAAAAGAATACGGAGCACATGTGGATACACAGTATCGTATGCTAATAAACTAGCTTAAGAATCTTGTTTGTGGTCAGTGGGTGAATGAAATGTAATAATATAATTAACATTTATCAACATAAATTAAATACAGATTGATTGGGTCAATCATAAATGTAAAAATGGATGCTGGTCCCATTTTATAATAGTTTTTCTAAGACCTCATATGGTAGAGACTTGATACATCAATTTAATTAGTAATTAATATATTATTATTACTTTTAATAAATATATGTAGATAATTTTTTTTTTGTTTATTAAAGAAAATTATTTTTTTTTATATATGCAATATTGATATCAAACCAAAAATTTGTTTAATTCAATATATATATATATAGTTGAAGTTAACCAAATGTTTCATATATAACTTTAAAAGTCACATGGATAAAAGTCCAAATCCATATGGACTATTCCACAACAACATGACTTGACACATAGATAGGAAGCACAAGTAAATCCACATGGTCTACTCTATAGCACCATAACTTGACACATAGGTATGAAGCACTAAAAGTCGTAAAATTACGAAACATTAGAAGTCGACGGTTTAGAGAACTCCACACGTATAAGAGGAATTGGTGTGCTATTGTGATTCAATGGCGACAAAGTCCATATCCCACTACCATTAATCTAGTTTTTCGGCACAAGTTCTTGTCTGATGCAACCTAATACCATTAGGTTGGCTGATATCGGTCATATTAGCTCGTGAATAAAAATGCATACATAAATATACTCTTATTTTATAATTTCTTTTAATTTGTGACATTTTTTTACGAAGTATATATATGAAAAGAATATGTCCATCTAATAATTAGAGTTGGCTAACACAATTTAATTGTTAAATCTATGCAAGAGTTGCACTCATAGAAGGATATATTCCATGAAGTGAGAGTACGTATTTGTTTTGTCTCTATTTGTTTTCTCCACCTCATTTGTCCTTGTAACTTAAACTCATCCATGAGAACAAACCACATAGGCATCTTTGTTTTTGTTCTACAAATAACTGCCCACGTTTTTGTTATGCAAATTTGCAAGGAATTGACCTATTCAAACAATAGGGCATTTGTTTACCAACAATTTTGATGCGTAGTTAAAAATATGTGAGTGCAATGAATAATAATTTTATTGGAAATTTTATAATAATGATTGATTTTATATTTTAATTGTTTTGATAAAATCGAAATAAAAAAATAAAAATAAAATGCAAGTTATTTTTATTTTTTTGGTTGAAAAATTATATCCAATCACATGTTATGTGGAACTATAAACAAAAACTAATGGGATAAAACTAGATATAAATTATATCCAATTGATCACAATATATATATATATATAATTACTAGCCAATAACATTTAATAAAACCTAATTAATTTTACCTATGTGGCAATTGAATATTTTTCCCTCCAAAAATCGTTACTTTTTTATGTATTTAATCTTTTATTTAATTATTAAATAATCAATACTAATCACTTCAAAAATACGAAAAATTATTTTAAACTTTTTATTAGTGACAGTTGACCATATAATGTGTTGATCGTACAATGTGATTAGATGTTATTATTGTGGTTACATTTAAATTATTTTTTTTTTTTAAAAAATTAAAAACGTATTTCAAATTTCTAAATAAATGGTAAATAATTCAAAAAAAAAAAAATGACGTACAAAAATATACATTACATCCAATCAGATAAACGCAATTTAAAAAAAAAATAAATATTCCAACTTCTTTATTTGTAAATGTTGGCACGCAAAAAAGTGAAAGAAAAATAATTAATTATTATATGCATAAAAGTAACTCACAATACTTCACAATACTTTATTTACATCTGTGCAAATGCACAAGGTCGAGTACTAGTATCTACCTTATCACTTAGGGAAATGCCACGGTCCCGTTACAGAACATTTCTGACGGGGTTTGTAACCGTTAGATCAACTATCTCTGACGGTTGCATGATGATCTAACAGTTACAAATCTCGAAGGAAAGGTTCCGTAACAAGACCGTACCATCTCCCTATCACTTAAACATACAATGAAGTGAATTTTCATACCTGCTGGTGGACGTAACCTTTTAGGCCTCGTTTACTAGAGGTGATAGGATGGGATAAGGTTGGTTAACCAACCTTATCATTCATTTACTAGGTTGGTTAGGGATTAAGATATAGCTGATGTGTTGATTGTGTGGCATGTGGGTCCCATCTCATTAAACTGACGTGCCAGGTTATTTCTGTCAGGCCAATTTGGGCGGATAAATTTATCCCATATTTTTTTTTT